GTTTATTTTATTATCCATTACTTCATTTTTGTATTAAATAAAGGAAAAATATTCTTATTTAGAATTTTTTACTTTTGAAGATAATGGATATCGCAATCAGCAATGACAAAGAAATATGTCTAGTAGACAGTGCCACAACACATTCAATTCTCAAAGAGAGAAGATACTTTTCTCATATAGTGTTGAAAAAATCCCATGTTAGTACAATATGTGGGAGTACAAAAGTAATTGAAGGCTCCAAAAGAGCAAATATAATACTACCTGGAGGCACTAAATTTTGCATTAATGACGCATTATATTTCCCAAAGTCTCAACGAAATTTATTAAACTTTAAAGATATTTGCCGAAATGGATATCATATAGAGACTTGTTGTGAAGGTAATATTGAGTTCTTGTATATTACGAGTAATGTTGTTGGGAATAAAAATATCTTAGAAAAATTGCCTTCATATTCCCCCAGATTATATTATACATATATTACTACAATTGAAAATTATGTAACATTAAACCAGAAGTTTACTAATCATAATGACTTTATTATTTGGCATGACCGGTTGGGACATCCGGGTTCTATTATGATGCAAAGAATTTTAGAGAATTCTTATGGTCATTCTTTAAAGAGTCAAAAGATTCTTTAAACTAAAGAATTCTTTTGTGCTGCTTGTTCTCAAGGCAAATTAATTATAAGGCCATCACCAATGAAAATTCATACCGAGTCTCCTCAATTTTTGGAACGTATATATGGTGATATTTGTGGGCCGATCCACCCCTCTTGTGGGCCATTTCGTTATTTTATGGTCTTAATTGATGCATCAACTAGATGGTCCCATGTATCTTTATTATCAACTCACAACTTACGCGTTTGCGAAATTACTTGGTGAGTTGACTCGGTTACGAACAACACACTTCCCAAATAATCCTATTAAGACAATACGTTTGGATAATGCTGGTGAATTTACATCCCAGTCTTTTAATGATTATTGTTTGTCAATTGAAATTAAAGTTGAACATCATGTAGCTCATGTTCATAGACAAAACGGTCTAGCAGAATCGTTTATAAAGCGCATCCAGTTGATAGCGAGGCCTTTACTTATGAGAACTACACTCCCAATATCTACTTGGGGGCATGCTGTGCTACATGCCGCAACACTAATTTGTATCAGGCCAACAAATTATCATGAATACTCTCCCAACCAGTTAGTTTTTGGTCAAGAACCAAATATTTCCCATCTTAGAACTTTTGGTTGTGCGGTATATTTTCATATTGCTCCACCACAATGCACAAAGATGGGACTTCAAAGGAGGTTGGGAATATATGCTGGATATGAATCTCTATCAATCATAAAATTTCTTCAGTAAAAAACTGGAGATTTATTTACGACTCATTTGCTGATTGTCATTTTGATGAGTCAATTTTTTCAACATTAGGGGGAGAAAATAAACAGTTGATTAAAATTATCAGTTGAAATGAATTTTCATTATCTTATCTTGATCCTCGTACAAGGAAACGTGAACTATAAGTTCAAAAGATAATGCATTTGCAACGAATAGCAAATCAATTGCCAGATACTTTTACTGGCTTAAAACGTGTAACTAAATCACATATACCAGCTGTTAATGCTCCTGCTCGAATTGATGTCCCTAAAGGACCTTCTACTGCAAATCATGAATTGTGGGCGCAACAAAAGCGTGGTAGATCAATCAGTTTTAAAGACAAAAATTCTCGTAAACGAAAAGGAGCAAACACTCAAGATGGTGAATTCGAAGTTGTTAAGCTTCCTGAAGAAAATTTGGCAATAAAAGATCCCGACATAATAGAAAATCAACTTCCTAAAGAAGTTCAGGTACCTGAAAGTTTTGAGATCTCAATTCATTATGTTATGACGGGACAAAAGTGGAACCGATGTACAACAGAAGTCGAGGATAAATTTGCCTATGCTGCAGCAGTTAACATTATAAATGAAAATGAGGATCAAGAACCAAGGTCTGTCGATGAGGGCAGATGAAGAAATGATTGGCCAAAATGGAAAGAGGATATTCAATCAGAATTAAATTCATTGGCAAAACGTAAAGTCTTTGGACCAATAATGCACACACCTGAAGATGTGCAACCGGTAGGATTCAAGTAGGTATTTGTGCGAAAAAGAAATGAGAAAAATGAAATCGAGCGCTATAAAGCATGTGTCGTAGCACAAGGTTTTTCCCACCGACTGGGCATTGATGATGAAGAAACATATTCTCCGGTGGTGGATGCAACAACGTTTCTCTATTTGTTAAGTCTGGCAACAAGTGAAAGACTAGAAATGTGTCTCATGGATATTGTGATAGCCTATCTATATGGATCACTTGATAACAAAAGTTACATGAAAATCCCTAAAGGTTTTCATATCCCTGAAGGATTTGGTTCTCGAGAGCTTTATTCAATTAAATTGTGTAAATCATTGTATGGCTTAAAACAAGCCGAACGAATGTGGTATAAACACCTTGGTGAATATCTGATAAAGGAAGGTTATTTAAATGATCCAATATGCCCATGTTTTTTTATCAAAAGATGTGGATCTGAGTTTGTAATCATTGTAGTTTATGTTGATGATTTAAATATGATTGGGACACCTGAAGAGCTCACTAAGCTGCAAATTACTTGAAGAAAGAATTTGAAATGAAAGACCTTAGAAAGATAAAATTGTGTCTTGGTTTACAAATTTGAGCACACCTATGATTGTCAGGACATTTGATAAGGATAAAGACCCTTTTAGGCCTTGTGAGGATGGTGAAGAGTTACTAGGTCCAGAAGCATCTTATCTTAGTGCTATTGGGGCATTAATGTATCTTGCTAGTCATACACGACTTGACATATCTTTTGTTGTGAATTTGTTAGCTAGATATAGTTCTTCACCTACAAGAAAGCATTGGAATGGTGTTAACATATATTTCGCTACCTTCAAGGTACGATAGATATGAGTCTTTATTATTCAAGAACATCTAAGCCCGATTTAGCAGGTTATGCAGATGGTGGGTATTTATCCAATCCTCATAATCGTTGATCCCAAACTGGTTATGATTTACATGTGGGAGAACAGCTAGTTCATGGCGGTTTATGAAACAGACTTTACCTGTAACCTTGACTAATCATTCTGAACTTATGACAATTCATGAAGCAAGTCGAGAGTGTGTTTGGTTGAGATCTATTGTTTCTCATATTCGAGGATCGTGTGGATTACATTTGGAGAAAAAAGTCCCTACTACTTTGTTTGAAGATAATACTGCTTGCATTGACCAATTGAAGGAAGGGTACATCAAAGGTGATATAACGAAGCATATTTCACCCAAAATTTTTCTTTACCCATGATCTTTAGAAGAATTGTGAAATCAATGTTCAACAGATTCGTTCAAGTGACAATTTAGCTGACTTATTCCCGAAGTCATTACCAACATCGACTTTTGAAAGATTAGTTCACAAGATTGTAATACGGCGGTTAAAAGATGTCAAGTGATGTGCTCAACAGGGGGAGTTTCTCCTCACGTTGTACTCTTTTTCTCTTGATTGAGGTTTTGTCCCAATGGATTTTCCTGACAATGTTTTTAACGAGCCAACGTCATATTTGGAAATGTACTCTTTTTCCTTTATTAGATTTTTACCCCACTAGGTTTTTTCTAGTAAAGATTTTAACGAGGCATTATTCCAGGAAATGAACATCCAAGGGGGAGTATTATAATTATCTGATAATGTGGATGTCAACAAACTAGTAAAGTTGTATAGGAATTCTTTGTATAGAGATAATATTTATTAGATATTATCACCAGTTAAATGTTATCTCTATTTGCTCTTATTTCTGTATCTGCTATGCCTATGCCTATAAAAAGAGAGTAGTCTCTGCAGAAATAATACACAGATCATTCTCTCTTTCTCCCTCCCTATTTGTTTTTTTTCCCAGTTTTATAACTTTGTTCTTCACTTTATATTTATAACAATATGTTTTTTTTTTTTGTGTTATTGAAAATGATCACCTTATTTATACAACACAAAGCTGGACATGTAAAATTGATGTTCCAATATTATATATACCCAAACTACTTAATATTCATACGGATGTTAAATATTTATACACATACTAATTAACCTTCTTACTAAAATTTATTATCTAATTATTAAATTCATCATTTAGGGCAATTGAGAACATGGTATACATTAATGCCTAAATCAAATCTAATTGTCTACAGCTGAAAAATGAAAATAAAAATAAAATCATCCTAAAAAAGGATGTATGAAAGAAATCATAAAATAACAGTATGAACATGAAGAACTTAATTTATGAGCTATATCAAATAATTGTATCAACACGATCAATGATTAAACATGGCGGTTATTAAGCATGAGGAATGCGGTTATTAAGCAATAAGACTTAAAATAAATAGTTTATCTTGTTTTAAATTGTTTCATCAAAATTTTATTTTCATAGTATAATTGTTAAAATTCAGTTAATCATGGCAAAATGAATAATTATTTAAAATTTAAACTGGTTATATGGAGAGAGAATATGTATAACCGATATCTTCCCAAAAAAAAAAAAGGAGAGAGAATAATTTAAATTAGGAGATACTCCCTCCGTCCCATAATTATTGTCCACTTTGCCCAAAAAATTTTGTCCCAAAATTATTGTCCAATTTGACTTTTTATGGATAAAGTTACACATTTGTCCTTAGTAAAAAACATTATCCATAAAATCTTAGTGGTTAAACAATTACTTATGTAGGGCTATATCCGGTTGTTTAAGGTAAACTATAGTCAAGTTTGACCAAAAATAAAATATTTCATTTTAGTAAAACTGGACAATAATTATGGGACGGAGGGAGTATAAGATTTAAGATAATTATAAAAAAATTAATAAAATACCACTTGCTATTTGGGAGAGTGAGCAACACCTTCCTTTTGGCTCACATTGCAAGAGATATAACTCCCAACAAAAATAATTTTTTCTTTTTTTTGGAGGAGAAATAATCTTAGCCCAAAGCTAAAACCCTAAACCCTGTAAAAGTTAAGAACAAAAACCATCAGTTTTTCTGCCCGCATTGTCCGCCGCCGTAGAATCCGAAATGTCTAACCAGAGGCTCCCGACGGTGAAGATTCGGGAATCGAAACCCTTTCAATGCAAGTTCGAGTTGCGCGGCACCGACGCGAGCGTGGCCAACGCCCTGCGTCGCGTGATGATCGCGGAGGTCCCGACGATCGCTATCGATCTGGTCGAGATCGAGGTCAACTCCTCCGTCCTCCACGACGAGTTCATCGCCCACCGCCTCGGCCTGATCCCGCTCACCAGCGACCGGGCCATGACCATGCGCTCCCCACGCGACTGCGACGCCTGCGACGGCGACGGCGCCTGTGACTACTGCTCCGTCGAGATCTTCCTCCGCGCCGCCAACCGCACCGGTGACCGCCACATCCTAGACGTCACCAGCCGGGATCTCATCAGCCCCGACCCCTCCGTCCAGCCCGTCGACTTTTCCCCCGAACTCGATAATCAGCAGGAGGACAAAGGAATCACAATCGTCAAACTCCGGCCGGGCCAGGAGCTCCGCCTTAGAGCAATAGCCCGGAAAGGAACCGGCAAGGACCACGCCAAATGGTCACCGGCGGCAACGGTTACGTTCGTTCAGGAACCCGAAATCCACATCAATGAAGAAATGATGGAGAAATTATCTCTTGAGGAGAAGAAAGAACTGGCTAAAAGCTGCCCTACTAGAACCTTTGGTGTTGATGAGGATACCGGACGGTTTCTTGTGGTTGATCCGGAAGCATATAATTATGACGATGGGGTGCTCAAGAAATGCGAAGACTGGGATTTGCCCGGGCTTATCGAGATTCGGCCCAAGCTGGATAGTTTCATCTTCACCGTTGAAACTACGGGCGCCATCAAACCTCATCAGCTGGTTCTTAATGCTTTGGATATTCTGAAGCAGAAACTGGATGATCTCCGGTTGCCGCAGCGGGCGGATACTACTACTGTACTAGGAGTTAGGAGCTGATGATCAGTTTGGAGAACACAAGCGTGGAGCCTGAAAATCCTTTAGCAATCTGAGTATGCTAAACTACTCGTCCTTAAAATGATCATCCAATTTAGATTTTTCTTCGATTTTGGAGAATGCTCAGTTTAGGTAAAAACGTCTATTTTACTTTATTATTTCGTATCACTTGAACTTGATATAGTAACGATCTTGAACTACATTTTTTATATTATATATATAAAGCACTTGCTATTTGAAATTATTGCTTCAACTAATCTAAGTTCGAGCCAAATAAATTTCTTTCAAGAAACAAAACTCTACCGATAAGTATTTTAATTACTAGAATTACATTTTTTGCTCTTAAGCATAGGTTTAAGCGAGTTTTCTAGGGACTAGTTTGTGGAACTGAAACATAATATCAAATCTGGCATCGTTAGCTAACTTTCGTCACAATTTCATTCACATGAACGGATTGATAAAATTTCAATTTAAAGGAGTTGAAAATGTATTCTCTCTGGAGCCAAGAAACGGAGAGGATTGCGGATAAAGAAATGACATGGCAAAGGAGAGTGTCCCGAAGCAGTGAAAATTGCAACCATTTGCGGAAGTAATTTCTGTGTTTTGTATGTGTGAGATCAGTTCTTCCGGGGTGTGTTGAAATCCGCAATTGGAGTTTAAGAGTGGGTTTCAAAAGGTTCCTCTTTTATCCCAAAAAAAATTGATTTGATGACACAAGATTGACGGAAGTGAAGTGATGATTATGTAATAAAAGCCATAAAATGTTATTACCTCCGTTTCCTTTTTATTAGAAGCATCGGAAATGAGTTTTTTTTTTTTTAATTTCTTTTTATAAGAGATTTTACATTTATGTAATAAAAGCCATAAAATGTTATTACCTCCGTTTCCTTTTTATTAGAAGCATCGGAAATGAGTTTTTTTTTTCTTTTTAATTTCTTTTTATAAGAGATTTTACATTTTCAAGAGAAGAATTGTAACCATACCATAAATGGGTCAGGATAGGTGTGCCATTGTATCGTTCTAGGCAAACCCTAAAAAAAACCTACACTACTACGTATGTGTGCATATATTTGGCTGATTCGGCCTTGTGAATGGATGTGAATCGTGACCAGTCTCTGGTTTTTGTCAACTTTCTCAACTAATTAATTCAAAATTCACTCCAACCAATTCACAGGTATGTATTCTCTCGGTCCCACAAAAATAGTCCATTTTCAAAATTTACAATTTTTTTAATTTAGTCAATGGTATCCCACAAAAATAATCCAATTTTAAAATTTACATTCTTACCCATGTTTGAAAATTTATCTCAAATTATAAAACTAATCACCGGAGTTTTAGTCTTCTCTCCCATCGTTACAGGAGATTAGCAATACCACCGCCGGCAATACCTCACCGGAACCTGCTCTATAAATCATGAGATTAGCCTATTTATCAGATGGACGCACATCCAAGCCCATAAGATAAAAAGAGACAAATTGAATCTATTTATTCATACAAAAGGGTAGTTAAGTCATTTCATTTGTTTTAATTTTGACATTTTAGAAACTGGACTATTTTTTTGGACAAGAAAGATTTTTTATCAAACTGAAATATTTTTGTAAGACAAAGGGAGTATAAATTTAGGTAGTTGATTATTATAAATGGGAATGGAGGTAATAAACTGATTACTACTTTTTGATTATTACTTTCGCCCCTTCTAGCTCAATCTTAAACTGAGTCTTGAGGAGGAAAAGCGAACTTTAAACACTTGGTAAGAGTTCTCACAACTTCAGGGAGAGATCGATCACGACACAAAGTGAACACAATTCTCAATTCTTCCTATCAACTATAATATAAATATATGCAGCAGTCTCCTTTTTATTTTGCTTTTTTTTCCTATCTTCCTTCCAAATATGGGATTTCAGGCAGCTAATATCCTAACTTATATCTACTATACTACTATAAAGCGAGAGGGCCAGAATCTTTTTTTTTTTTCACACAGTACCTCAACTATTCTATTCAATCCTAAAAACTAATCTATATTTAGATACGTTACTGTTACACGTTTAATACAATCAATAAGGTTCGTATTACTTGCTACATACTTTTACAAAATGTAAATAAATTCATTATTTTCCATACTATTTATGTATGCAACTTTTTGTGCATTTGAGTTGTATGCTTTTTTCTTGTGAATTTTACATTGAAACCACTTCTAATTGGAGAACAAAAATGGAGGGAAGAAGGTACGTAATTAATGTACAATAGAAAATTTGATGATGTCAGAAAGGTGAATTAAGGTTTTCACATGAAAAAAGAAGATCGTATTTAGAAATTAACAAAAGCCCAACTAAAAGGCATAAAGGAAATTATAAAATTTATTAAATATTAAGTGTATGGAAATACATGGATTCTCAAAAAAGAGTCAAATTAAAAGACAACTATTCTAAAAATACAAGTATTTCGCCACTTATCATTGTTTTATTTTGGATTAGGGCTCTTGCCTTCTTTATTGAACCAAAAAAATTAAACAACCTCCTCCATCATCATATTCCTCTTCATTAGGAGTGGTCTCCATGACGCAAATACCTTTGTGTTGCTGCATAAATCATTGCAAGTAAAAGGCCGACGGCAAACAAGATAGCAACACCTATAATAGCCCATATCATTGGCGTCATCTCCATTTTGATTCTTCTTTTCTGCTACGATCTTATGAACTGGTCGTACGTTGTAAGTGAAGTGATGAAATTAGGGTAGTTAGGGATTGATGAAAAAAATATATGTATGTTAGTACGTATTTATAAGAAAATTATTCGACCGGGATCGAAAAATCAATCAATTAAGACCTTCATTAATAAAGAAAGTAAATCAATTTACTTTTAATAAATCAATCGTCATAAAAAAAAATTATGATTATCTTGCCCTTTTACCATAAATCATTCTTAATTTTTTTTTTACATGGAAACTTCTCATTATCATTGATGAATTGTGAAACGAATCATGCATGATAGATAAGGAAAACATTTTTTTTTAATGGAAATTAATATGGCATCAAAGTTGTGTTCTCACAACCCCGGCCCTAGAATTTATAGCAAAACCTTTTTCTTTTCTTTTTTTTTTTTGTTTTTTTTCCTTTGAGATAACCTTTCACTGAATTTAAATCCATGGCAACAATGGGGCAAAATTTTACAACTCAATCTTCTACAACACATTACAAAACCATTGGCTGCTTTTTATCTCATGCGCCAAGCAACCACAAATCATCAATTTTTTTACTTGTCAAGAAGTAATCTAAAAGTTACAACAATGTAATATGTCCAGCGGGTTTTCCGTGCCTCCTTAATAATTAAAGCAATAGCGGGATTTCCATTCCATTCATTCCAATAGACTGCGTAAACATCTTTCGTGCCTCCACCGACAACCTGCAGGTCCTCAACCTGGATCCCTGAGGATTAATACCTCCAGTTTGTCCGTCCGGGTTTGAAGTTTTCGTTGTTTTAGAATTAACGAATGAAAGAATTAATGAATCTGAGAGAGAAGCGTTTTGTAATTTCTTATGTGTTTCTAAATTTATTGCGGCACAAATTAGAAGAAGATTTATTGCAACACCTATGAAACTAATGAAACTAGATGAATTTTACGCGTTTCGCACGTATGGTATATACATAATAATATTATATAAATTTTATAAAAGAAATTTGTTCATAATAGATAAATTTTGACTCACGATTACATTATAAAATCTATATTATAGCAATTTTGATTTTAACGACATAGTATTCCAAATGTAAGTAGAAAAAAAGCGCATATATAAACTAAGTAATAAAATATAATATAATTTATGCTTCACCCAGAAAAAGGAACAACCTAAAAAGAAAAAACCGAATCAAGATAAAAACTAAACAATAGAAGGGGAAAAAAAAAAGATGAAGATGAACAATGAAAAATGACTACCTTCAAGAGACTTGTAATGCAGAGGTCACAAAACATAAAAAGCAAAGACTCTAAAAAAGAAAAAGAAAGATACCAAAAAACTCATACACTATTTAGGATTATATATATACTGAAAAATTTAGAATACAAAGAAGAAACATACTAAGGAATTCAATAAGATTAGAATCAGTAGAACTGTTTTTTGGCCTATCAAATCCACTTATTGATGAGAAATGAAAACATAATTTAATGGGAGGGAGATGAAAAGTGAAAAGTCTACAAAATATAATGCAAAGAACTATGAAATTTAAGTTAAAATCGTTACAACTATATTTGTGATGTATCAAATTCTAACAATAGTAATAAGTAGTAAATTATCATAAGTTCTGTATGTTTCATTCTCTTCTAATATTTAATTTTTCACTAAACATTAAATTTCACACAAATACAATGAAAAATCAAAATAAATGTAAGAGGAAGGACCACCAAAACCAAGATTACATTCCCCAATTATAATTTATGTTGATAATCAATATGATTTAGTCATCGAACAATGAAAAAGAAATATAATTAAGGTTATAAAGTGTATTAAATTGTGATCTGTTGATCCAATGAATAAAAATGTATACACAAGAAAAAAAAATATTTAGCATCAAATTTACTGGAATTCTTATCAAATTTGGTCCCTTTTCGCTAGTTCATCGATTAAAATTCAATTGAACTCATAAGCTGGACGATAAAATTGGTAATAAAATTTTAGACTAATTCTAACTTTTCATCCTAAACATTGGAGTAATAATACATTTTTGCCCCAAACATTCAAATTCACATATTTCAGTGTTATATATTCAGTTTTATGACATTTTTCCGTCCCAAACTACTATTTTGATCATCTATCCATTTTGGCCAGAGGCGTTTTTCAATAATTTAGTTGTTTTAATTTTATTCAGAACTTACAGTTTTTTTTAGATATTATTAAACTAATAAAAATATAATTTTTGTCAAAAAAAAATATAAAAATAATTTTTTTTTTTTTTTTGTTAATTTGTTAAGCCGAAAGATATTGATAGTGATCATGTTCCTGAAACCAAACATAATGGAAAGGCCCTTGTAAACTAGGATATTATTGGAGTTTGGAACTAGAGTTTCTGTGGGCATTTGGCATCCTGAACGGACATGAATGTGAAATTGCCTAGCATAGAAGAACTTCTTATAAATTAATAGTGACAGGACCACCAAGTTTTATTAATTTAGCAAATTATTAAATAATTAATAAATTAATAAATTATTAATTTATCAATAAATTAATAAATTATTAATTTAAAAAAAAATTTCTAAAAAAAACCCAATATACTATGTAATTTTCCATCATTGTTTTACAATCCTAAACTAGTAATGACTGTAACTATTTTTAATGATAAACTCAAACCTAAGTTTATAACATATTCAGACCCGGGGATCGAGAAGGGGTTGGAACTCTTCTCTCAACACCAGAGCTTTCAAAGGCAATGAGACAAATCAATGATGAAATTTCATTGGATATAAATTCAAGAAAAAACAAGTATCAATAAGTTCATATTTTACTAAATCTTCCTAATTATTAGTATTTTTTTGTGTATGTAGGGCATTTATTAATCTACAGTATTGTTGGGACCTATAGATATATAGGAAATTTTCTAAAACATTATTATCTTATCATTTTATCGATTTTTGTCACTTTTTGTACTGGTCCCAAGTTAGGACCGGGAAATATTATTAATTCATAGAAGTTATTAATTTATTAATTATTAATTTACCGACGTTCTAATGTACATAATTTTACGTGAGGCTTATGATTTCTCTCCTCGCCAACTATGAAATCTAAGAACTCTTTTTCCTTTTCTCTAATTCTCGATAGTCTTTATTCTTGTCTAATACTAACTCTCTAATTGGATTTCTAAATCCTAAATCTTAAATTCTACTTCTCATTGGATTTGGATTTTCTTTTTGTCGGTATCACTTATATATATATATATATATATATATATTTATAAAGGAGAGTTTTTAATCGGACACATGGCATGATATTAGATAGGCTAATACCGTGGCGCAAAATTAGACACACAAGTCCACATGTCGCACCCACATCACTACATGATTTAATGATAATTTTTTATTTGTAAATTCGTAAAAATTTATAAACTAATTTTACTTGGTTTAATCTTTTTGTTATTAAAGAAAAAATAAAATTCACTTTTGACCACCAAAGTATTGCCTAATTCCGCACCATGTCACCATTAATTTTTATATACCAAATTTGACCACCATTTATTTTTTATTTATCAATTAAGAAGAAAGAAATTTTTCAATTTCTACCTCCCGATTTTATAAGTTATATACATTTACGTTAATATATAGTATGGTGTGATGGAAGAAATTAATGAAAAATTTTCATAGAGTTTGAATTATAAATAAATAAAAATAAAAATAAAACAAGACTAACGCCGAAAAGCAAAGGCCCCGTTAACTAAAGGCTTCTCTTAAAATTTTCAAAGGCTTCCATTATGAATAAAAAACAACGGAGTCTACTTAATTAATTAACGCCAGATATCTTTTTCAATTTTTATTTTTTATTTTCGACTCAAACTAATTTTTTGTTTTGTTGATTGTACTATTTTTAATACAATATTTTTGGAGTAGGTGAAATCATGATAAAAAATCTGAAGAATGGGAAAAACAACTTGAAATCTTTTTCATAAAGAAAAAATGAAATTGACGGGATTAAAAACTAGCCAAATTAATATTACTTTTATTTTTCATTTAAAAAGTTGATATCATTTTTCGCATTAAAGAGTTGTACAGAGTAACACCGTCCCTTTCACTCTTTACTGATAATATATAAAAATTTAAAAAATTAATAAATGATTACAGTTGATGACATTGTGTAAAAAATTATAGAAGAAAAAAGAGTAACATAGTAATAAAACTACTAATATAATTATATATTAATTGGCCAAATTTTTAATTGAATAAATTTTAAATAATATAATGATGTATTATATTGTGTAAACCCTAATCGGCCAAACTTTTCCCCCACAAATACATGTGATCAAATACATTGATTATATTAATCCAATTACGTGCGAGTCCCACGTTGGAGGAGACGTGATTTTTTGTTTTTCATGGATTTTGTATGACTTCTGAGATTGCTGCTGAGCAAGAAAAAATGAAGCAAATACTATATAATATGAAAAATATACAAACAGCCTTCTAAAGAAAAGTTATAAGAAGTATATAGAGAGATGAGAAATAAAGATAAATTTATGAAAAACAAGTAATAAGAAAATTTTCTCTTAGAGGGAGAGTTTAGAAAGTATAAATAAAAATCTCTTACACCATCCTATGAAACTTCTTAAACCACCATTTAAAATTTATCATATTTTTTTAATTCAATAATTACTTTCTTTAATTTTTTAAAATTATACTAGCGCCCTAATTCACCATTGTAGCTCGTTAGGACCATGTTCCAAAATCTTGACGAGTGATATAGGAAGTATTGTAAGATTACAGTGCAGGAGATCTTTACCCAAAAGATATGACATGGATAAAAATATTTAAAGAGATTATTATGAAAATTAAGAGAATACTCTTAAAACATATAAATTCATAAGTACATTGGATTATTTTTGATATTGAAAATTATTCCAAATATACTTAAAATAATAAAACGCATTCACAAAAAAAATTACACTACTGCAATTCATATCATTATTATTATTTTTTTTTTTACAAATATAGATGTCAAATATATCTTGAATAACCCACACGCCGTACGGGGTAAACACTAGTATATATTATATATAGAAGAGAAACACAAGCATAAATATTCACATTATAATTTTATTACGGGCTGCGATTGATATCATCGATCTTTTACGAAATTGTCTTTCTTTTGGTGCTCTTGTGCCTACGTCCTACTTCCTCCCATCGATCATGGGCATAGTATCCAGTCTGTTATCCACCGATGAGCTGCCTCAGTTATCCGGTGCCTCTCCAGATGACGAACCTGAGCCATTTTCTAGATTTGGAAAAGATTACAAGATGAATTTTGCTGGCCGGTTTCCTGGATACGGTCGTGGACAACCTTATCGACCGAGCGAAGATCTCATAGTACCCCAACCTGAATATTACCCCCACGTTGCTGTGGGTGGTAGAGTCTTGAATCCTGATTCAATCCGACCTCTTCCCGGCTCCCAATCTTTTCGTGGTCCGATATTGGGTACAGTTGATCGCGAACACAAGGGACTCCCAGCTTTAGCTATTGTTCTCAAAAGAAGGGGTTATCATAGCTGTTAATCATTCAGCAAGGCAGAAGCCTATTATTCATATAAACCCTTGCCTGGTTGCCATTATTTCTGGTGGAAAGGCTGAGGACTGCGGAGAGTTGCGGCGGGATCTGCAAAACAAGTGCTCCAATTATGAAAGTAAGGAGCGGAGAAGAATTCCTTTGATGGTGGCATTAGAGTCGATGCTAGACACCTTGTCTTCCCGAGGCGAAGTGGGAATGATTGCTGGGTGGGATGAGGAGGAGAAAGGTCCTGCTGTGTTCCGCGTGGATGGTATGGGGGGACTGCTTTACGGGGATATATTGGCTTGTGGTTCTGGATTTAGGCTTGTGTATGCTTATTTGCAGGTGCGGTTTCAGATTGGTAAGAACTAAGAACCATTTCTCCCCGTTTGCTCCTATTGCTAAATCTTACCTAGATGCAATGGATGACCCATCCCAATACCAAAAATACTGCGACTGGTCTGCCTGGTCTGTTCATGAAGCTACAAAATTAGCAAGAACAGCTATATGTTGGACTGCGGTTAATGCTAGGGATGGTGAAGCTTTTGGAAGTGGGTACTATGTAGGACGTCATGGGCTGGATCGTGTCTTTTCTGATGTACCGGTGGAAAAATATGTCCGCGATTACGGCTTGCCTCTCCCTGTGAAGAAAGGTGTTCTTCTGTATATGGCTTAGGGTCTTTCCTGACGTACCAAGGAAGAATGTGTGGGGGACTCCGACTTGCCTCTCCCCGTGAAGAAATCTTTTATATACAGTAGGTTTTGTGTTTTGTGAAATAGGTTTTGTAGGCTTGAGTGGTGACTTTACAAGAAAGGATTTTTTTTTTTTTGAAAAGTTACAAGAAAGGATTTTAAATGAACTAATCTTCTTTACTTTTTAAGTTCCAAGTGTATTGGCGTGAAGGTATTTCCAAAAAAAAAAAGAAGTGAGGCTTATGATGAAATCGGAAGTCTTTACCATATAGGTTTCTTGGGCCTATTGAACACTTGAGCAAACAGAGGTGAATAGATTCTTAGAAGTTCTAAAATTTGTGTTCGGCTAATGTTAATTTGGGCCTCACGAATAATTTGTTTTTATTTTTATCATTATGTAATTTTTCGTGAAAGGTCCGGCCCTTTTATTGGATTTCGGAGCAATAAATTGTTTTTTCTCCAAAAAAAAAAAAAAACTTAGCTAAATCGAAAAGAAACCTCTTTAAATTGATTATTTTATATATTGAACTATTTAAAACTTTATTAAAACCATAACCTATCAAGTATCAAGTAACATATATATGTATATATATATACACATATATACGTATATATAAAATTTTTCCAGTGATTTAGCTTGTTGACCATATAAGTTGAACAGCAAGATGACTCACTAAGATTTTCAAGTAATAATCACACAATTGAGAACCATGCATAAAAATTTAGCTTGTTAACCACACAAGTTGAACAGCAAGATGACTTACTAAGATTTTCAAGTAATTAATCACACAATTGAGAACCATGCATGTAGTACCCTTCAAAACTTCACAGGAGTAATGAAAACATAATTTCTGGACGTATATAACTAAATTACAAAATAGGTGATAATGACTTTTACTCATATTACTCCTGTCCCAAAATCCGAGTGACGTGTATTTTTTCATTATAGATCGATAAGCAGAATTCCTATTTTGAAAAGAGGAGGAGTATTTGTGTTATTTTACTTAATGGATGGAGCCTTCGCATCTATTAAAATTCGTAAATCCCATGCACGGTGTCACCGTCTACTTTGTCATTATTTAGGATTGCAAATTTCTTTCAGACATTAAGAATGAAAATAAAATTGGGGGAAAAAACTAAGTACAAGTTGCACGGATTTATTATAATGTATACATCCTGCGATTCTCCTCAACACAGAAACAAACATCAATGAAATCTTTTTCATAACTGCAAAAATTGACATCATTTGGTGTTTTCATTCACTATATATATATCTATGTTCTGTTGTTGTGCCATGCGACGTACATCCAGATTCAAGCCGCATGAATTTCCGCGTATAGAGATAAGATAAGCTTTCATTTTATTGTTTTCTTGCACGAGAATTCGAAATGACTGCTCCCGACATTGATTTTTCATCTCCTTCTCTGATTTCGATATATCCTTCGTTTTATCAGAAGAAGGCTGATTTTGAGTTTCTTGGCAACATTTGAAGGGAAGTTTCCAGGAAATTTAAGAAGCGTAATTTGCATTAGCCCTAGCGCTGCTTAACGGTACTCGTAATTCATTCTGGTTGTGGCAAAATTTTCTTTCGCTTCTTTTCCCCATTAAATAATATCTTTTCTGTGTCGATATTATTAAAGAGATGAAAAAAAATTCAAACGGCGAGTTAAGAAATTGTACCGATATATATATATATATATGTATATATTCAAATTCTTTTTCATTTTAATTGGAGACCCATTCGAAAAAATTAGTTAATCCATGCAAGTAGTACTTTATGATATGATATTTGTAACAATTCTTCGTCAGAAGTGGCAGTAGATGGGACTTGAAATAGATTAGATAGGTCATAAAAGTCATGCCAATTCAATACGTAGACTATAGTGGTTTTCAAACTAGCATATTCTGTAGGTTTAATTCCAGCTATATAGCTATCTAAATTCTAAAGTTTGATCATTTTCAGCGCAGTTCTCGAACCAATTTTATCGTACATCTTTCTCTTTTTTTTGGACATTAAAAGTTCATATTAAAGCCCTACGACATTTTTTTTTTTTGACTACAATAATTAATTATCACGTGTTTTGATCGTATATGTACTTGTCACACCTAAATAGTAAGATTAATCCTTACTTGACTTGAATGGTAAAGGAGAGACAGTAATCTCAATCCACTTCTCTAACCAAGTTAAGTATATACATTTTGCATGCAAGAAGAGCAGTCCAATCTGTTGGAAAGATTTGTGAGGATCGCATGATAGTTCGTTTTCGGAAAGAGAGTTCTGGAATTCTGTGACAAATAATGGGGTTGGGGGGCATCGATCAATTTGGCTGCAAATGCATGGAAGTTTTTTTGGTTTTACATGCAAAGAGTTGGTGTGCGATTTCCCCTTCTATTTATCATTGTCTTGTAGCGACAGATTGAGAGTTCAACATGTTGGTACTATCACGCATCTTTTTATTTCTTTCTTATCTACCTTTTTTTCCTTAAGTTTTTTTTTTTTAAATGATTTCTATATTTACTCAAGAAATTAGAACCAAGCTAAAAAATGAATAAGTTAAAAGCATGTGTGCCTTGGCTTTCCTAGCTAGCTAGCTGGTAGCATCAAGATAGGGCTCCGGTTTCTATGATACGACAACCCTAAGTTCAATATAGTTATGTTTAGTAGTTTTTACAATTCCAGCCGGTAATTTCCGATCAACAATCATAGAAACTTAGAAAGGCCAGAAAAAAGTCGAATGCAAGCATGAACTTCCATATTCTAACAGGACATAAGGTTCAATATCAGATTAGTTTAATTCAATAAATATGATCTCTTTCGGGGGAGATGAGAAGTACTGATATGATTTTCAATAAAGCAACCAAAAAAAATGTATTCCAATTGTTGAACACAACTAAAAGGTATGTATTTGGGGCACGAAAATCACATGATGGATCGAGCGATGGAAACGTAACTTACATAGAAGTGACTCACGTTAAGGTTTTCTTTGCTCTCCAATTTTCAGACAAACCAAATACTCTATTGTAGCTTTCGCGGTGGCCAGAGTTTCCAGGCTTGATTAAATTTGAGTATGACACTTCATGAAATTTTCGTATCTCCTTCGCCATCATATTACCTGTAGTTATAGCCTTTTAGGCCGGGGACCCTGCCTAGCTATATGAGCTATATTACATATGCCACATTTTAGAAAGAAAAAAAATGAGGAAATCTCCATTCATGTTGTGTTATTAATTTTGAGTTGGTTATTTGGTAACAATAAGAATAATACTTTCCTCACAAAATTTGATTAGCTTTTGTTATTATAATGTTACGATTTATCTGTCATCAAATGCTTTAAATAATTATAAGTACATATTGCAGTAATACTAATCCCCACTCAATTTGTCGGAGGACATTTTCTGAGGTAGGAATATATATTCACTGAAACCCAAATCCAAGAGTACATATATACACTGAAACCCAAGAACTCAATTTATAGTTAAGGCCCGATTTTAGATTTTATCCTTCTGTTTTACCAAAAAAATAAAATAAGAGAATATTTTTGAGAAACCAGATTATCAGAAGTCAAAAAGTTTCAAGGCTTAATGAATTTTGTAAAATTTGAAGGGGCTAAAAATCTTAAAAGAGGGGGTGCGTTTTTCAGTCAACCGCCGGCCGACGTACTTATTGCGTCGACTCTCTCATCGTTGTTCTTCTCCAGGTTCTTTCTTCATATTTCTCCGGCGGCATTGCTTTCTTCCTGTTCGTTAACTGTGTGTTAGACAAGACCTATGCATGCAACCGACACATATCTCCATCCATTTTCCTCCATTGATTAGAATATATATTCTATCCGTCCCAAAATAATTGTCTTGTTTGGATTTTCATTTTTAGTACAATTTGTACTAACACTAAAAGTTCAAATTAAACAATCATTTCAAAACGGAAAGAGCATTTATTTTGAAAAGGCTAAATCCATACGCAATATGACCAATGTTTTGTTTTACTTCAATGGGATGATCATTTCTAGAATTTCTTTTTTTATTGGGGCAGTAATCGTCCGACTTCTACTTTTTCTGGGAAATCTAGCGAGACGATTATGCAAACAGACGAATGATAATAGCACAATCAAGAAACTACTAGAATTTTGAACTGTCACATTAATGTGGAAATAAAAACCAATTATGTTAAATTTTGATCCAATCACAAATTGATTTTTATAACATTATCGAATAGACAGACACTGCCACGCAAATGGACGACATGACGGAACCACGAAAGCAGTGTTATTCACAACAAGCTCACAATAAATAAGTTTCAATTTTACATCTCATTGTTTTATATATCGAAATGTTTCTAATTCCTTTCGAAAAAAAAAAAAAAGAAGAAGAAATGTTTCTAATTATGACCACCAAATTAAATCATTATTCTTTACAAACGCCATTGTCATAATATTTTGGTTGTCCACCTCCATCAATCTTTCACCAACTCTCTTGACAAATTCTCAACACTCCCCTCAAAACCAATATTTGGTATCGACTAGCTAGGGATAAACCATGACACTCAAATATTTCTGTCAATCTTCGTATCAATAATATATATAGGACAAATGCATGTAGAGAACAAAAGAAGGAATTAGAATCGAAATCGAAATGTTATACTCTCCGTAGTTCGTACATTTTTATATAGTTCTATTGGAAGAATTTGAACCCCTCAAAAAACTGCGTACTATGCATACTGGCAGTCCAAATCTAATTGAAAGATTTGGAATCAATGCGCATGAGATTTCATTTTCGATGCTGTTAATCCTCATCTGGGTGTTAGCATCAATTGGATATAAATGTGCGTTTATTGTCTTTATTTTATGCACTTATGGAGGACAGTTTGCATTCAAGAATTGAAGTCCCAGATTCCCTTTCACTTGTACAGTCTTTGTATTATTTGGTAGTACAGTTTTTCGGCTCTAGCACGTACTATATACTCCCTCTCTCCTATAATTATTGTCC